TCTGGTTGAAATTGTATTGATATTGTAAGGAGAAATTCTGTCTTGATCACTCAAGGGAGTTAAAGGGTTAAAACAGGTTGACTGCTAGATACAGGTTCCAAAGCGAAGAGGTCAAACACGATAAAAAACACCATCTTGTCCTTACCGTACTAAGAAGAAAGATAAAGAGATTCCCTTTTTGAAATTTACTTAATTAGCACACCAACATTAAATTCTATCAGAAATACTTATTGAAAAGATTTCACACCCAGATTATACCTAGAATTGACACCTAAATCAGTTTACATTAGAAGCTTAACTGTAAGCCTGTGAGTCATGCAGATGTTTTTTGACCGAGTCGTCTAATGCAATAAAACTGGGTGTGTATATGTTACGATAGCCTTTGACCCCTGGAAAAGTTAAGTTAGAAATAAATGCCTCACTAAATTAATAAACCAAAAAGTTATGCCGTAAAAACTAAAAATAACAAGCTGCAGTATCGTTCAAACAGTGTTTAAATCTACAGCTCGATTGCTTGAATCGTATTTCAAGGCTGTTCGTAACAATTTTAATCTCGCGGGCTGAAAACTCCCTTCCTTGGTTTCAGTTGATTTGCAATCTAATCTTGAGGATGAACACTGGAATTTTGAGAGGTTTTTCTGGGTTACAACTCCCAAGGGATAATTAATTGTTTGCCTTCAGAACTAGATCACGAAGGAATGTTTATATTGTAAATTCACGTTGGAATCCGGAAAGGCAGCGCGTTTTGAAGACAACTACTAATATAAGCCTAGACTTATATTTATTGCATGATTTCCAGTTTGTCTGATGGAACTGATCTCATATGAGAAATCTGGTGGAATATGACATTATCTAGAAGAGATTTCGAGTTGTTTCACATTTGCACGAGACACGATGAAAAAGATCTTGTGACACCCATATCACACACTGCACTACTCAGTATCCGCCAGTTTCGGACCATAGTTGTAATTTGATTGTAAAAGGAACGATGCTTACATGCAAAACTGAACTCAGTTCTTTACTTAATTGATGTGCAACTCACCAAGAACCTACTGCTGGAAGTTCCTTGGTCGATAGCTCCAACCAGAGGTCCAAAGTCCTTGTAATCGCCTTCACCCATCGCCATGTTGAAAGTCTTCTTCTGACGACAGAAACCGCTGAGCAGCGACACCTTTAAGAGTCGCAAAGGTCGCGCAAGTGAACAACAATATCGAATTTTCATCTGCCACTTTCTGATTTATGTGCACAAACTTTGAATCTTTTCATTACACGAAGCAAAATCTGCAATGAAGAATGTACTGATTTCTGCATTGTGAAATGTATTGAATATGGAAAGTTGTCAAACCACGCGCAACCAAAACAAAATGGCGCGAAAATTAACATCAAAAGTTATGTAAAAAATTATATTTTTTGGTTCAAATTCGCAACCCTCTAAATAAAGTGTAAACAATTCCTTGTGGGATCACGTAGAAGATTATGAAAATTCGAGAAACACTCTAGAAGAAAACAGAAATGGGGATTAAAACTGTAAATCTTGTGGCTCTAAGAATGTTGTACGCGTTAAAAATCTTAATATTCTCGAGAGCTGTTAAAAAGTTAAAAAAAGGCAAACTTTCATGAAGTTATCATATCATCACGAATATGCCCACGAGGTAAGCATATTCAGATGAAATTTTGAATGGTTGTTTTTTAAACAAAAGGGAAGGAGGTTAGGTATCTTTTAATTTGCCTCTAACAGAACTGATTATTCCAAACGCTTGACGAAAAGTATGATATTTAGGCTAACTCAGTTCAGGAAAAAACTGCAATTGGCTCTTTTTTCAAAGTTCGGTTGTTTCAGTTCGAAAATTTGGTGCACACAAGTAATGTAAATGAAATTAAAAATCTGTTCGGTTTCCGTGCGGGCCGAAAAAAAATCTGTCTCTTTCATTGAAAATTTCTTCTTTCCCTTTTCGGATAATATTTCAAATCGACCAGTGTTTTCAAGAAATAGAAACACTAATAAAACCATCAAAATTCTTTTGCTAGCCTAAAACGCATTTCATAACCAACCTTCAATGAATTCTCCGACTTGCACACATTATGAATGCGTGACATCACACACTGGTTGTCACGCAAATTTTGTGCGTCACCCAAATCGAAAGCGTTGTAGGGGCTGAGATCAGGATTGTCGGCATCACAATATGTGATAACACAGGCGGCCCAAGCTCACGTCTCGAGAAAGCC